TTTTTTTTTTTTTTTTTCTTTCTTTCTTGCCTTGGCTTGCCTTGCCTTGCCTGCCACTCTAACGGCACGTCAATCGTAACGCAGGCTAATTACTACCAGCGCCGGAAAATCGGGTAGCCGACGTTATTCCGGCTGGGCGCAAAGTCTCGGCAGTCTCGTCTGCCGTCGGTTGAATCCACGACGGACCGTAGCCGTCCGACTCGTCGTACACACACACCGGTGTGCTTAAGTATCAGTAATCGATACATCTTGTCTGCGCCGATGTCACCGCGAATACCATGAGTAAACCGGAGTAACATCGATGATCGTCAAGCTACCCGGTATACCCGGGTTCTCTCTCTCTCTCTCTTTACTCACCCGACTACCAGCCACTTAGAAAGCCAGTTAAACACCACAGCACCAGCAGCACTGACGTCGAGACGCGTGTCATCGAACTTGTCGATAACGTTTCACAGCGATTCCCTTGGTAGCCAGCCGTTTATAAAGTGCCCCCTAATCTCCTGACGTGTTCGTTCATTGTTAGATGCCCCGGTGCGACTATCAACGTGTTCCGAGCTGATTCCGGGGAGGGGGAAAGTGCCAACTATAATCCATAGTTTCTGAAACGCAGAGTAGTGATGGTGATGACGGTGGTGGTGATGGTGATGGTGGTGGGCCTCGTCTGGAAAACAGGGAGGAAAACGAGTCACTCTGACCGTTTCAGCTCCTCCTCCTTCCTCCTCCTTCTCATCCTCCTCCTCCTCCTCGATCTCCTGTAATCTCGTTCTCCCGCGTCTTCCACATCCTGCCGCGCACAGGGGGTTATGTATCGTTCTATACGCGTATATACATACGTACATACATATATACATACACGGTACAGTGGCTCGCGTCTAGACCGAACACACGTACCGACGCTTCGTATTTTTCCTGTTATGGCGAAGCCATTTCGCATCTCGCTTATCCTCGCCGAACTATTGCCCTCGTATGCGCGCCCCTCTTTTTCGGATTGCCCCGCTATTTATCTAAACGTCGGCGTGGCCGTCGCGCCGCTGGAAGGAGCTGTCTGCATTTCCTATGACTATGATCGAGCGAGATTCCGTCGAGATTGCCAGAGTCAAATTCGAGGAGACACGAGCCGCAGGAAGTGTATTAATCTTGCAGCTGCGTTTCCTTGCTCCTCCGCCGGAGCATTCGTCCCGACGAAATTCTATCGTCTTCGAAAAAATTTTTAACAGGCCGACATTTTCAATTCAAAGCTCGCGAGGACACTCTTGGCTTTCGAAACTTTCCTCAACTCGATCGAGTTCGAATTTTGCAGAAGTATTCATACACCGTGCAGATGCAACTCGCTACTCGTTTCTTCTTCTTTTTCTTCTTCGACTTCTTTTTTTTTTTTTTCTTTTTCTTTACAGAAGAAATCGCGGAATCGTGTTTTAACGCTGGAAACGTTTCGCGATAATCGACCTAATACGTCGCCGTGGAATTCTGTTCGAGAACCGGGTTCTATTGGACTTTCCAGTTTTCCAGTTCGATCCACCTTGCATCTGCTTTTACCTCGCGATAAATTGAAGGCGAATGTACGAGAAAATCGAGCAAATTCGAAAATCCGGGTAGAATCCACTCTTGGAGAGAATTCAAGAGTAACGTATCACGCGGAGCGTGGTGAGCACCGAATGTACAACACTTTCGGCGAATCCCTTCCTTCCATTTTCTTTCAAGCGTTTGTTCCACTACGGTATCGATACCACCAACACACACACACACACGAAAGAACGAGTACCTTCATGCCCCTACTAACTTTACATTTTCAAAACTTTCACGAAACGAAAGGAATAGGCTACCGCTATCTTTCAATCCTCCTGCTTCATCCAACTTTCAATTATGTGTTAATACTTTTGTTTTGCAAACTCTCGTT